TAAACATTGAATTGCATTTAATGGTACAAATGGATTTTTAGAGATATTTTGCTTGGCACAATCCAAAGCTTTCAAAGAGAAAGCCTTGTAGTCTTAATGGGCTCACATAAAGAACAACTGTTTTCTAAAACACATTCAAGACGTAGGATTCTTAAACAATATAAACTACAAAAACATCCAAACCAAACAGAAACATGCCTCATACCAAAATTTTATAGTTGTATATATTAAAACCAAAAGCATGTTCCTCTCCTAGATCTGTGACATTAGTAGATAGATATCTTTTAAGTGTCAACTGCATTCTTAACAAAACCATGTCAGAATTATGTAATAATAATAGCAAATATATTTGAGTAATAACTGCATGCTACTTTTCATATATTTCCTCAGTCCTTACCATAATCTTAGGTGAAGGATATTGTTTTCCATATTAGAAAACTGATGTTGATGAGAGTCAAAAATTAGTAAGTGGAGGGGGTCCAATATAATATTTGACTCCCTAAAACATTACTTAATTAACTCTATGTTGAAAGTTCTCTGATGGCTTCAGACTCATTTCAGGCAGTGAGAGAACTCTACCCAATTCCACAAGATGAATCTTCATTACATGTGAACGTTTTAATTCTGGAATCAAGTGGGCCACATATGCAAACTAGTTAATATAATTAGCTAAGAAACAGGAAGTTTCAAGAAATTTTGAAATAGTTTTACAGGTATGCAATTTTGAATCTTTAAGTCCAGGCAGAAAAATAAAGCATGTGGTCAGGGGTTGCAATAGGGCATCTCACTTAGAAGCAATTTCTGTATGGTCACAACTCTCCAGACAGCCAGATCTCCCATTCCCTTAAGCATATCTATTGCTTCTGTCTTTTACAGGGGACTTAGAATAAAAATGGTGGTTATTTTGCTAGAGCAAATAAAAAAAAGGAACTAGCAGATTTCAGGAATAACAGCAGATCTGGGGAACATTTATTCCCTTGTCTGTCTGGCTTCTTTCTCGCTCTCTTTCATCAGGTGTTTTCTCTCTTCCTTATAGTTCCTCTACTTCTCTCTGTGCAGAGGCTTGTCCTGTTTACCCTCCATTCTCTGTAGCCTGATTCATAATGCTTGCCCTCTTGTTTGCATATGACCTTGGCTTACCATTGGTTTTTTTTGGATCCAGCTTGTTCATAAATGGTAAATACTTAGATTACTCTTATTCCAAAACCTATATTTCTTTACTATATTATGCTGACAGTATATAATTTTAAATTTCAATAATAAAATATAGTTTTAATAAATTAAGATGTGGAAAATAGTCTACTATATTTTTGCTGGTATTCACCTTTTCTGTTATCTCTCACTTTATTTTTAAAGTTTCAAAGGAACTCTGGTGTCATTTCCCTTTAGCCTAAAGAAATTCCCTTTACATATTTTGCAGAGCAGGTCTGCTGTGACAAATCCTATTTTCCTACCTGAGAAATGACATTTTTCACCTTCATCACTCAAAGACATTTTTACTAGAAGTAGAATTTTAGGTTGATAGGTATTCTCTTCTGGCACCTTAAAGAGGTTTTTCCACTGTCATCATCTTCTTTTAAGAAAATCCTCACCCAAGGATTTATTGATTTTAGATAGAGAGGAAGGGGGAGAAAGAGAAAGAGAGAGGGGAGGAAAGCAGAGGAGGGGAGAGAAAGGAGGAGAGAAGAGAAGAGAAGAGAAGAGAAGAGAAGATACATTGATGGGTTGCCTCCCAAATGCACCCTGCCCAGGGATCAAACCCATAACCAGGTATATGCCCTTACCAAAAATCAAACCTGCAACCTTTTGGTGTATGGAACAGCTCTCTGACCAACTGAGCTGCCTAGCTAAAGCTCCACTGTCTTCTGGATGCCATCATTTCTCATGAGAAACTTTCAGTCTTTGGAACTGTTGGTCCATACATTTAATATTTTATCCCAATCTCCCATCCTCATTTTGGCTGCTTTCAAGACTTTTTCTTTATCCACAGTTTTCATTAATTTTATTATGTGTCTGAGCTAATTTTTTTGAGTTTATCCTTTTTGGAGTTTGTTGAGTTTCTTGTATCTGTATATTTATCTCTCATCAAATTTGGGAAGTTTTCAGGAATTATTTCCATGAATATTCTTTCTTCACCAACATCATTTTTTTGCCTCTTCTTTAAGGACTCCCATGAAAGAAATATGAGATCTTTTGATATGGTCCCACAAGTCTCTAAGACTCTACCTAGTCAGTTTTGTTTTCAATCACTTTTCTTTCTGTTGTTCAGGTTGTATCATTTCTATTGCTCATTCTACAAGTTCACTTGCTCTTTCCTCTCTCATCTCCATCCTGCCATTGAGCTTGTCTAATGAATTTTTAATTTCAAGTATTGTATTTTTCAACTCTAAAATTCAATTTAGTTTTTTCTTTATAGACTCTATTTCTCTTTCTGTTCATTTCAAGGGTGTTATAAAAAGTGGTTCTAATAGCTACTTCAAAGTCTGTTTACTAATTCACACATCTGAAACTTTGGGTTGGCGTCTGCTGATTGATCTTCCTTTGGGAATTAGTCAAATTTTCATGGTTGTTAGTATATCAAGTAATTTTGGATTATATCCTGCATATTTTGAAGATTACATTGCCAGACTCTGCATACTGTTAAAATTTTCTGGCAAATATTCATGTGTTGTTAGAATGGGCATTCAAGTTGCATTGTCTGTTCTTTTCTTCTGTGATACTATTTTCAATGTCAATACAATTTTCAGCTGCTTCTACATTATTTGGGTCTGATAAGGCATGCACCATTCAAAGCTTGCCCTTGTTCTTGGGTGATTTTTATCACCCCAAAGTTGTAATTCAGTTCTTAAAGCTTTTGTTGTACTTCTCTGGGCATTTTCAATACTTGAGCAACTTGAGGGGTAAGTTCATTACTTGCATAGGTTCAAACACAGAAATAGATTCTCTTTTCCACTCTCTTTTGTCTGTGGGGATTTCCCTATGTCCTCTGACTTCTAGGACTACTTTACCTAGTTTTTCTGGCAAGAAAGTTTGGGACTTTTAGAGTTTGGCCTCCTTTGCTGTGGCACCATTCCATGTAATTGCACCACAGTGCAAAGCAGCAGGGGAAAGAAAGAACATGTAACACTGATTCACCTACTTTTTGCACAATGGGGAGCAAATTCTTCTATAGAAAGGATTAAATCATCATTTGGGATTATAAATGTCCATGCTGCTACTGGGGTAGCAATGCAGATCTACTCTAAATTCTTTTTATCCTCACCTGAGGACATGCTTATTGATTTTAGAGAGGGGAAGAGAAACATCAATGTGAGAGAAAAACATCAATCAGCTGCCTCCCAAACATGCCCTGATTGAGGACTAAACCCATATAGTAGATATGTGTGCTCTGACTGGGAATCGAACCCACAAGCTTTTAGTTTATGGGACATACTCTAATCAAGTGAGCCACTGGCCAGGACTGCAGATTTATTTTTGAAGCTGGCCTTGAGTCAGAACTGAGAGAATAAAAAGAAAAGTAAACATGGGGATTTTCTCCATACTTTGGCTTATAGGAGCCCTTTATCCTGCTTCTACAACCAGAATAATGACCTTAACTATGTTTTTGTTTTGTTGGCACTTTTTACAAAGTTCCCAACTTGATTTGACTTCAGGACAAGTCCATAAGGATATAAAAAGGAAAAACAAGGAGAGTCTTTGTAGCTCAGTTGATCTCTGCTATAGATTTGATTTCCTTCCTTAATTTACTTGCTATTGTTTACATTCTAGATTTCTCAGCTACTTGTTTGTCACATCTGTCCCATTTTAGTGTGATCATGGGAGTGACAGAATGGGTTCTGTGTTTTCGGGGCAACCTTTTATTAAGGGTTGTATCTTTAGCGCTTGCCATAGAAATTGCCCTGTAATTGACAATAAAGTAAATGAAGTGAATGAAAATCACAACATTGATTCATAACATAAATGCTGATCTTTTAGTCTTGTCTTCAAGATTCAGTTATGGACACAAAAGTCCTTTCCCCTTTAACTGCAGTGACTCCTCAAATTCCCATCTTCCCATCCACTCTTTTCTAAGATTCCACTATGAAAAGTGGAAAAAAAATCAGTCCAATGATTTTTTTCTTTGCCAGGCAGGCTTGTTGAGAAAAAAAAAATAATTCTTTGCTTCATTATAAAATTTTTATATTTACATAAAATTATAATTTTATTATGTTTCACTGAGCTTTTCTTTGTTTACACTAAAAGGAATTTATTTTAGTGTTTTAGACTTTGGGAAATGATAGCTTTATTTAATAGATTGGTATTATATGGTTCAAAATCTATCATTAGGATTCATCTTTATTTGATTACTCTGAACATGTCACCAAACCCACAATCTACTTCTCACCATTTGCATCCATTAATTCAAACTTGCTGCTCTTTAAATAAGCAATCACTAAAACTTTTCATTTGGAATCTTTTTAAAAAACAAATATTAATAGAAAGTAGTAAACTTTAGAATATATCTAATTTAAAATCTCAATGTGTTTACAACTTTTTAAAAATGTTGCTTGCTATTTTTATTGTAAACATTATCTTATTAGAAAGTAAGTGACTTTATAAATATGAATTTTTTCCATGTTTTTTGTACATTTGGTATGAAATAGCCATATGTGACCCAGGAGGTACTTATTCAAGAGAACTTTTTCTAGAATTCTAGGTGTTCCCTCTTCTAAAATAGAAAATCTGATTAGAAAATTGAGCTACCAAAGTATATTAAGCATGTGTGTGGTGCAAATTCCTAGCATGAGTTGACTGAAGGTTGATTCCACTGAGTCCAAAGTCTCTAATAAGGTTTCCATTTATAGATAAGTCAGGGCCTATGTCTTGGAATACCACCTGGCAGTGCTAAGACTGAAATTAGAAAAATGAAGAGGCAAGAAACACGCTGTGTCACAATCTGTTGTGTTCAAAATCTAAGTGTGTGTGTGTGTTTTTTTCTATTTTTATCCTGGGGTCTCCAGTTTACCGTGGTTTCTGGGCAGTCCTGATGCTCCTGGGGGTAGTCGCTGTGATCACCGCGAGCTTTTTGATCATCTGTGCAGCCCCCTTTGCCAGCCATCTTCTCTATAAAGCCGGAGGAGGCTCATATATTGCTGCAGGTATGTGTAGTGCTGTGAACATGCTTTCTAGCCACGGATTTTCTCCATATCATTGTATTTTTCATTTATAGTTTTAGGTATCAGGCTTCTAGCAGTAGGAATACAATTATATTCATTTCCCCAGGGACTTTGAATTTCTCATGTGCTAGCACTTAATCAGAGCAACAGTTTTTGCTCATTGTGTCTACATTTCATGAAATCAGATAATAGAGGGGAAATATCTGCTCAGAGAGTATTTTAACATCTCTTGTCCTATTAATTTTCTGTCTGTAAAATGGGGTCATAATGCTTCTCTGAAGCATCAGGATATGGGTAAACCTTTCTGTGTTCTCTGAAAAAGATAGTGCCATGATAATGCTCAAAACTCTCATGATATATTTACCCATAGATAAAAGGCATGTTTTTCTACAATGTCACCATTTGATTTTCTTAATTGTGGTTCATGTGCATTATCTAAACACATTCTCTTTATTGTAAAACCTATAGTTATTTTAGTCATCTTCCCAACTATACTTTCTAATTCCTAGTAAAATAATCATAGTACAAATGAAAAAATAACTGAATAGGTGAGTCTTGTGAATTTTAAGACTTTTTCATTTACTTAGGAAGTAAAAGACAGAACACTAATTTAAAAACATAAAAACATTTAAAAGATTATTTGTAGAGATAACAATTCTAGAAAATTAGACAACTTCAGTGTGACTCAGACTAAACTTTACATGGTAATGCTCTACTGTAACATCAGATTAAAAGGACAAAGAGTTTCTCCATGATATGGCAGTGAGAGCAAAGAGAAGGAGTGGAATGAATAGCTTTACTATTTTTATAAACATTGCAAAGACAGCTCATGATGTTGGCCATCACAATTTAATCAATGGCCAGTTAACTAAGAGTTTCTTTAAGTACGTATTTTGCATAGTACTGTGCTTATTTATGCAGAGAGAATAAAAATAATAATCAGATATGGATCCTCTGCTCAAGGAACTAAAAAACAAAACAAAACAAACAAACAAACAAACAAAAAACCACTGAGAACAAGAGCCCTGTTTAACCTACTCTGTCTTTTGCCTCTTATTTCAATTCTTTCTCCAGATTTACCCATTGGAGCTCATAATTTTTTTTTATATTTTATTTATTTTTTCTAATTAAGAATCTTTTTAAAAAAGATTATTTATTTGTTTATTTTTAGAGAGGTAAGTGAGGGAGAAAGAGAGAGAGAGAAACATCAATGTAAGGTTGCTGGGGGCCATGGCCTGCAACCCATGCATATGCCCTGACTGGGAATCAAACCTGCAATGCTTTGGTTTGCAGCCCGTACTCAATTCACTGAGCTACATCAGCCAGGGCTCAGAGCTCAATGGGCTCAACAGAATATTATTTTAAAAATTAAAATATAATTCACATACTACAAAAGATACCATTTTAAAGTGTATAAAATAAGTGGGTTTTAGTACATTTACAAAGTGATGTAAGTATCAATATTTGATTCTGGAATATTTTTATCCCCCCACAAAGAAACCTCATCCTCTTCTCTGCTCCCATCCAAATCCCAGTAACTAATGATTTACTCTCTGTCTCTATAGATTTGCCTTCTCTGGACTTTTCAAATAGATGGAATTGCAATATGTGGCCTTCTGTGCCTTGTTTCTTTCACTTAGATCTCATAATCTATCATCTCTCTTCTTTAATTCATAATTCTATAAGACCAAACTCATTATGACTTAATACTGAGCATCTCTTTTACCAAATAGTTTTTCTTCCCATAAACCACATTCTACCCTCATTTCATTCAAATGTTTAGTTAAGGTGAATCTTTTTACCTGGTCTTCCCAGAAATAATAGTTCCTTGCTAAAATATGTAAATATTTTTTCTTCATTCCTTGACTTTCTTTTTTTATCTTTGTCCACAAATGTTAGGTGTAGTAGCAGTAGTTTCACACTAACACATTATGAGCAGCAAAACTAATTGAAACTCAGAAATGCTCTGATCCTGAGTTTGGTCTTAGGGAATTTTGTGCATTTGTTTATGCTTAGTGCTTTTGAAAAAAAAATTAGCCACTTTATAATTTGTGTGAGAAAGTAGCAGTATATCCATCTAGAGGTTTCTGGGTGTGTAAATGTCGGATCACTATTATACACCTGAAATTAATATAATATTGTGTGTCAACTATATTTTAACAGAATTTCTTTAAAAAATTACACTTAGCCAAGAACCTTGTAGAAAGATAAAGCATTTACTACATACTCATGTGCCTGTGACAAGTAGACTTTATTTTTTTAGTGAATCCTTTGTTGCATGTGAGTATGGGACTGAGATTCTCCTTGCTCAGGTCTTCATGCAAAAGACCCTGGGAGCTGAGAGGTGTCCAAGGTGTTCTGAGAGCTTATTCTGAAAGTCCCAAACTAGATGATTATGAGGACACTTCCCTTAAAATTTGACATAATTTTCTTCATGGCTTAATTCTTTATTGTTTATGCAGGAATTTCTTCCCCCCTGCAAAAACAGAGACAGGTATGCTGTTGGATAAGATAAAATATTAATCAGTTTCCTGACTGAACTGACTCAGCTTATTAGTTCAGTCAGGAAAAATGTTTTCAGAAATAACTAAAGTTTACTTTCCAGTAGCAATTTCCACCATGAAACACACTCTTTTAAAGCAGTTTTTGGACCTATAAATCATCCTTACTCTTGAGTAATTATTGACAGAAGAATTTTAAAAATCTTTCAATTCTCTATTATTCACATCCCCAGATAATATGAATAAGAAAGTTGTTTTTTCAAAGTTGAAGATGTAAACTTAAATGCCATGCTCTACAAGGATGAGGGGAATATGAAATAAACAGCAGGTTTGTCAGCCAGCCAAGTATTCTTCTGGACCACATTTAACATGGAGCCATGCATATAATCATTTACTGAGTTAAATGGAATTTATAGTGTTTTGGCTAGTTTAGATTTTATATTTTAAAGTGAAGAAGTTTCATTCCACGTACCTAGTGCTCCAAAATCTCTTTTGTTTTAGGCCTTGTCATCATCATCCCCTGACTGACTGAGCCTCTCATGCTGCCTTATGCCAACACTGTGTTCTGATGGGCAGTTAGGACCAGGTGCAGTTTGGGCTGTGTTTGCTGTGGCTATTTTATCAATGCCACAAACAATACGGGGCACTCCCTTTATTTGGGCGATGACCTTAGAACAGGGCAGAACCAAATTCCAAATGGTGGTTGCTGGGTGTGCACATGTAGAACATCTTTTAGCAACAATAAGATTGTTTTGGGGCATTTCACGTGGTTGGACATGCTTGTGTTACAGCAGTAAGTGTGAGTAAGGGGTGAGGTCTGTGGTATTCCTCTTGCTGTGGCACCAGACTCAGAGCAAGGCTTGGGGGGGGCATATGTTGCCACTCCCTGCACTTGAACAGATCCCTCTTCAGGCAGGCCAGGCCATGTGTTCCCCAGAGAAGTTCAGTTCCAGACCAAGTATGTGGTAATTGTCAGGGTGTTATGATGCCAAGCCTGCATTTCAGTCAATCTCATCACATACCTTCACAATAACTAAACAGTTAGTGACTTTTTTGTATTTAAAAAATTTTAATGTATAATACACCATCTGTATATTGTGTGCTCACCACCCCAAAGTCAAGTCTCCTTCCATCTCCATTTATACCTATTTACCCATAAATTTATTTTAATGTGGAGTTCTGCAGAACTCTTATATATAAAGGAGATGACTCTTGTCTTCTCCTAACCTGTGATATTGGAAGTGGTAGGAAAGATGCAGAGAAAGGTTAGAAGGGATAGACATGGCTTGAAAAAGATTTAGAGTTATGTGGAGAAAATTGCTTTAAAGCTGAATATTTCTAATGCCTGTGCAAAGAGACATCAATAAGCATTGCTGCTCATCATAAAGACTTCTAAGTGTATAAGAAAACATAATGGTGTGATCTAGATGCTTAAGACACTGGCATTAAGTGATAAGCCACAAATACTAGAAATTGTTATTTTGTCAGGATTCAGGGGAGAAAGATTTTTCTATCATAATTGAAATAACCTTTTCCTGAATACTTTCCTGCTATATGCAGAGCTTGAACAAGTCTCATCTAGAAAGAGGTACCTAAATCTCAGCTAAATCCCTTGTTAGGTTTTCAGGTTGGTGAGGCTGCATACACATCTTATGAGTCAGGGGATACAGGATGCACTAGTGGGAGGAAAGGCCTCTTCTGTGTAGTCAATTCTTTGGAACGTAGTAGAGGCACAGTTGTGGTTTGACTGCTGGCTGTCAACTGTGACTGCTTGGTGTGCTCCTCACCCAGACAGTTAATGTTTAATCACCAGGACACAATCTAAGTGAATTGGGTAAGTCCTGTACCATATAGGACTAACAATCTGAAACACATCCTTCTATGGCCACGGCTACTCTTATGGTCCTGAGGACAATGCTTTGTAGAAGCACAGTGACATGAACCCTTGTAAGAAAGTAGTGTAGCAAAAGTGAGTATTTATGAAAGGAATATGAAATATTCATATATAGCAGGTAATACTGATTCATAAATAAATTTGTGGTTGGTTTTCCTTTAATAAGATCTATAGTATTTGTGGCAGCACATCAGTAAACCACATTTATTCTACATGAGATAAAATGGATGTATACCACAAGAAGCTTCTCCCCATCTTAAAAGAGAAAAGGCTCACAGAAGCCAAGAGACACACTTCAGATGTTCTTTTATTTTTTTTGCTGAAACTGAGCATGTGGCTCTTAGGAGATGGTCAGGGTCCTGCCCAGCCCCTCACCTCTTCCTCCAGATGAAGCAGAAGATGGCTGCAGTGGGAGCAGGGAAGAGTGTGTGGAGGAAACACAGACCCAGAGCAGGCAGGGATTAGGAAAGAATTGCTGACAGCTCAGGGGCGGGAGGTCTAACCTTACAAGCACATGCATGCCCCTGCTTGCACCTGCTGTGCCCATGTCTGTATAGTGAAAGATCTGGCTATAAACAGCTGTTTAC